TTCCTCCTCCCCCTCTTCTCCCCCACCCACCACCAAATTCTTCCATTCAGCATTTTTGGGATTTTTTCTCAACTTGTATTTTTAGTGCTTAACATTTCTTGCAGACAGGCTTAAAATCTTTGTGGGGAGGGGGAAGGGGAGGAGCTTTTTTTTTTGTGTTTTGGAGTTGTTGTTTGGTTGTTTATTTTTTTGTTTTCTTAGGATGAAGGGGGGACGGGTATTACTTTCCAGGTATAGAAGCCCATTCCCATAAAACACTATTACTGGTTTTTTTTGTTTTTTGTTGGGTTTTTTCTTTCATTAAAAAAAAAAAAGATGTCTCTTTAACCCGCCTCATTTTCTCACCACCTCCTTCAGATTGTGATCTTCATAGTGTACGCCATAGAGCTGAAGGACCGGGGCACGCCCGTGACGGCCACCAGTGGTGTGGCCATGTACAGTCCCCTGGTGTACAAACCCACGCGGCGCTACGAGGCCTGGAGGTTCATCACATACATGTTTATGCATCAAGGGTCAGTCCGCATGTCGGTTGGGTTTTTTGTTCACTTTTTTATTTACCTCATTCCTCTGTGTGCTGGGGTTTTTTTTGGGGGGTTTTTTTTTTTAATCCTTGCCATAATCATCAACCCATGTTTTTGAAAGACATATAGTGGGTGGTTGGCAGGTGCTCTGGTGTGGTTTGCTCCTTCTTTCCTATCAAACATCTATCGTCCTTATCTCCCCTTCTTCTTTTTTATGTTTGTTACTCTCTTGTAACACCTCTAATCTTCTGGCGCTCATATGACCTTATGCGGTTGCGAGCGCTGTAAATCCTCTACTAAAACTAAACTAAACTGAAAAACACAAACTAATTTTTCCTTGTGCTGTTTCTGCATTCCGTATTTTAAAAAAAATCTAACTGATTATTCAGTGTGTCATTTTTTCAATCCGTGTTTTTTGGATTGTTCAAATCTTTATTCTTTTTCTGTTTTCTTTTAGTGGTTGGTTAGTGGATGCCGTGGTGCAATCCGCTCTTTCTTTTCTATCAAACTTCTGTCATCCTTACCTCTCTTGCCTTTCTTTGCATGTTTCTCTCTAATTAGATCTCTAATCTTCAGAAAGTATATCTGACCTTTTTTGTCTTACAAGAGTCGTAAAACTTGTACTAAGACTAAGCTAAACTGTAACTGATTATTCTCAGTAATTTTTTTCAATCCATGGTTTAATAAGACAAATTTTTTTAATGGGTCTGAATTTTTCATCGTATAGTTTCTATTATCAGTTTGGCTTTAATTTTTCTAATTATTATTTTTTTTTTTCTACACAACACCCTCCCCTGACCCCCCCCCCCCCCCCTTGTGGCACTCCTCAGGTACATACACATTCTGATCAACATCATCTTATTCTTAGTAATTTTTTCAATTCATGGTTTAAAAAAAATAAATTTTTTAACGGATCTGAATTTTTCATCATATAGTTTCTGTTATCAGTTTGGCTTTAATTTTTCTAATCTTTATTTGTTTTTTTCATACAACACCCTCCCCTGACCCCCCGGGACTCCTGAGGTACATACACATCCTGTTCAACATGATCTTATTCTTAGTAATTTTTTCAGTCCACGATTTAATATAAAAAACTGTTAACGGGTCTGAATATTTCATCATATAGTTTCTATTATCAGTTTGGCTTTAATTTTTCTAATCTTTATTTGTTTTTTTCCTACCCACCACCCTCCTCCGACCCCCCTTTCTGGCACCACTTAGGTACATGCACATCCTGTTCAACATGATCTTCCAGCTGATGTTTGGTCTGTCCCTGGAGGTGGTGCACAAGTGGTGGCGGGTGGGGCTCGTCTACGTGCTGGGAGCCCTCGCAGGTCACATGACACGCTCGTTTGTCTGTTCGGCTCTTCTCTCTTGGGCAGATTTTTTTTGTGTTTGTTTGATTCTGATTTTTTCAAATCTGTTTGTGTCTGTTTGATTGTGTGCTAGCCCCATTCTTTCTCTGTGTTTTGTTCTGTTTGTGTGTGTCTGTGTCTGTCTGTTGATTCTTATGTCTGCTTCTCTCTCTCACTCTCTCTCTCTCTCGCCTCTCTTTCTCTCTCTCTCTCTATGTCTATCTGTCTGTCTGTCTGTCTGTCTGTCTGTCTGTCTGTGTGTCTGTCTGTCTGTGTGTCTGTCTGTCTGTCTGTCTCTGTCTCTGTCTCTCTCTCTCTCTCTCTCTCTCTCCCTCTCTCCCTCCCTCCCTCCCTCCCTCCCTCCCTCCCTCTCTCTCTCTCTCTCTCTCTCTCTCTCTCTCTCTCTCTCTCTCTCTCTCTCTCTCTCTCTCTCGTGCATATG